AACATAAAATTATGTTTTCGTTCTATTTTAAATTTGCTGAAGCTTTTGGGAAAAAAATCTGCACACCTTAAAATCACTTAATAAAAAATCACAGTGTTAGTATGCCAGTGTGCTTTTAATGTGGGCATATTTGCATTTGTAATGTTAGTAATTAAAAAAAAATTTAAATATGAATTTACAGCTCCTATTAAATTATTAATGATATTCTATTCGAATGATAAAGGTTTTGAATTTTTATGAGTTTACTTGTAACTTGCAAAAAGTATCAACACACGTCAAAAGCTAATTGGACAAAATAAAATTTTGTTTTTTTATTGTAAAGGAAATTTTTTCAATACATTTATATTTAACGGAATCTATCCTAACTTTTATGTAATAAAAATTGAATGTTAAAGTATTTGAGCATTGCCATGAAAAAAAAATTCACCCTAAATTAATTATTCAGTGAAATTTTTAAAAGCACAAACTTTTGTAAGAAGTTTATCAAAATTTCAGGTTTTGTAAATTACGTCTGTAATTTCACATTATTCGAATATTAATAATTTTGATTTTGAAGCAGTTTTTAATGCAGCTTCAGATAAGCTGAAACTGTAAAATAATGAAAACAAAATCAAATTATTTGCCTTACATTCAACATTTGGTAAATAATTTATTTATTTATTTATTATTATTTTTTTTAAAAATTTCTAATGGTAAAAGTAATTTATAATTTGCCTAATGCTATTTAATAAAATGTAGTTCTTGCTTTTAGAAAGCTAATTATACATATTGAAATTATTGCATAAGCATTAAAGTCTTTTGCAATTAAATTGTCATTAAATTTTATAAGTTGATATCAATGCTATATTTGAATACTTGCTTTAATTTCTTTTCTTTATTGAAGCATGTTTGATGGGATTTTATAAATTTAAATCATTTTAGCATCTATAACTTTATTTTAACTCTATGTTTATTTTAATAATTTTAAATTCTAGTAGAGTGAAATTATGAAATAAGGGAAAAAGGTATAAAAAATATGAAAAATGTAATATCATTCTCATGCAAGTTGATAATATTTTGATTAAAGATCGGTTTTTCTTTATTAAATATAATTTCGCTGTTTTCAAAAATGTAAGTCAGTTTTAGCCATGCTCGAAATTACTTTTTTCAAATTAATAAATGCGTAAAATATTGATAGTGTGGAACTAGTTATAAAAAAGGATAAATTATGTAAAAATAATTCATTCCTTTTACATAAGTTGATATTATTTTGTTTGAGTATTTTTCCCTTATTTCAAATTTAATTATAAGTCATTATGCTTAAAACTTATAGGTAAAATGAATACACATTTAACCCAGTGGATTTATTCAATAAATGAATAAGTTGTTGAAAAGCGAAGTGAGGAATTTAGTATTATATTACTTTTGTAAGAGCATGAGCTTATTTTTTTATTCATTTAAAAAAAGAAAAGAAAAACATGTTTTAGGTATTTCATTAGAGTTATTTGCATTACGTTCAACATTTCTAGAAAAATGAGTTCTTTTAACAAATAAAAAAGCTTTTTTAATTTAAGAATTAAGAACATGAGAATTATTTGGCGAAATGAATGAATAATATAATTATATTTCTTGTTGAACAACCTGTATCTGGATTATGATAAACGATCGTGACTTTTGACTTTTTGAGTAAAAAATCCTTGAATCACGATTGCAATTTAACAAAAAACGTGATCATTTGATTTAAAAAAACGTTTATTATTTTTTCAGCTTTTTCTTTTCGTTGTTTCTTTTTTCCTTTTAAATATTGGTTAACGCCGCAAATTTATACTTTCTTACCAACCCGCGCGATTCTCAGTTTTTTTTCCCAAGGTATATTATTTTATCTGCATTTTTTCTTCTTTCTATCTAATTCTATTGCTAGAATTAAAGGTAAAACCGGCTCCAGTCAATAACAATCATCAGGTACGAATCCCAGCTGCTACACTGATATTAAGATGCGGACCTTGGTAACTTTGTAGCAAGTTTGGCTTTGACCGATCTGTGTGATTATCACCAGATCTCAAGAATCAGGTTGCTTTACCCACTAGTTACACAAAGAGATATATTCCAGTGGCTAAACTAATTGCGCAAGGAAGAATAATATAAATAAATACCGGGTAAAAGTTGGCTGAAAAAAACTTTCTTTTTGGCGGAGATTCTGGCGGAGTAATCATAGAGAGTGGATTTCTTTAGGGTGGAGTCTTTTCATGATGTATGAGATTTGAATGTCGCACGATTGTCCGATTATTACTGAAATCGGTGCAAATTATAATTGTCTATTTCGGTAAGTGCCCATTCAAAGGCTTATTCAATATCAACTGTTAAAGAGAGTGAAAAAAATTGGGTGGATTTTATATTGAATATTCAAATCATGCGTGGTGGTTTAGAATTGTTTAATGGTTGTGCTGTCTGTAGCAGTTAGGTATTGAAGAGTAATAAACTATCATTAATGAAAAGGATAGAGCTAGAAAAAAGGGAGTTTACTTGAATTAATAATGTTGTTTTATTTAGTATTATATAACTTTTATTTATCGATTTGAGTCAGCCAAAAGAAAATTAAATAGGTGCATTGATTAGTTTTTATGAGTGCATAGTTTTTCATGTCAGGTCATTTGGTTTATAAATGACCTTATTAAAAAAAATGTCTAAAAGAATTATTCATCAGAATTATGAAAAATTACATATTTTTGAAAGTAATGAAACTCATACATTCAATTTGCAATTGTAGAAATGTGTATATGAGCTACATTTTATAATCTATAAAATTTTTTCTTCTGTTTAGTTAGACTTTTTAATAAGAAATGAGACAAAAAATTTCTTCAAAGGATTTTAGAGGTCAAGACTTTTGATCACAATTTTGTAAAGATCATTCAGATAAATTTTTTATCAATTGAATTAAAACGTAAATTTTGTTTTTTGCTAAGTTACATTTAACATTTGAATTTAAAGTTAGGTTACTGCACTAAAAGTTAAAGTTCCAAAAATAAGGGAGGCGGTTTCTTAATTTCTTTACGTAAACATAGGTGGGGACAATGCACTGAGAAAAAAAGTATGGTCAAAATTACTAGAATATGATAAAATTTACCATGTTTCTGGCTCTATGGGAACACCAAAGATCTCGGTAATTTTTAAAAGAAGCGTTTTACTAAAATTAACCATAAAACATAGTTTGATAAGCTGTGAAAAAATTAGGTAATTTTATAATGATATCGCAGTATGAAATTGAAAATTGTCTATATGAATTTTAATTGCTAACACATTTAAAAATTACTATGAGTGAATTTTTATATTATTAGCGTATTTTTAAATCTGCAATATAATTGAGCTTTTCATCAAAATATATTAATGAATTGTTCTTAAAAGTTAGAATTTGCTCTGAAATTTACATGTGCTATATGTGAAATATTCATATTCTCAAAATATGAAATTGCAAAATTGTTTTGATAAATTTGAATCACAATTAAGGTTAGATTTTTGATGAGACAATTTTTAATTATTGTAATTGAAAACAAAATACATGAGTTTACACGATGAGTTTTTGCCAATTTCCGGTTGTGAAAATATTTATTGAAAATGAGTAGTTAAAATGAAATGAATTGTATGAATATGAATTGTTTTTGAAAACTATATAATCTGTAGTTAAACAGCATACATATATCTACGCATTGTGTGTATGAGTTTCAATTGTAAAACTCATACACTCAAAATGCAACATAAAAACTAGTATAAGAAAATTAGTTACAAAGTAATAAAATTGTCCAGACAAAATATGGAATGAAAATTAATTATCTTTAAAATAAAAAACTTGTTTTGAAATAAATTTGTCATTTGTACTTAATAGTACAAAATTTATAATTAATACAAAACTTAATTGCAAATTGAAGAAATGTTCTTTTAAATCAGTTTTTAAAAACTTTATTAAGGAGGAAACCAAAAGAATTTAATTTACATATGAAATTATATTTGAAATATTATCTGTTTTGAAACATAAGTGCATTAAGTTATATATTAAGACGTTTATAAAAACATTATCCATAAAACTATACGAAATTTCATAATTTAATTGTCTGCTAAATATTTCTAATTACTTAATTTAATAGCTCTTATAAAATTATTTCTAAATCACCTTTATCAACCGGATTGATAAATTAAATTATGAAGAAAAAGTTATTGTTAAACTAAATAAAAAGATGTTTGATAATAAAATTTTTTTAAAAATAGCGAGATTTATAGATGAAAGGAAATAATAAATATCAGGATTAATAAATTAAATAATAAATAACAGGATTTACAAACTAAAACAATAATGAATAACAGGTTTGGCAAGCTTTTGAAATAAAGAATATATAATAATTATTTTATTATGAATTGCAAGTATAGATGAAATTGTAATATTGACAATATGAAATTATTTATTACAGGATTGGTAAATTAATATTTATAATAAAATTGAAAATTTTTTCGGAGGTAATAAACTAAATCTGTCATTAAATTGATTAAATTAATAGTGATTAAAATTATCAAATAAATAAAATTACTATGGATAAACTATGCAAACATAGGATTTAAGAACTAAATCTCCATTTTATTGCTCCATTGAGCTTTGAATAAAATACACTGAAAGTCATAGGCATCGCTAACGTTTTGTGGGTGCAAAATTAAAACACACAGTGTTCAAAAATTCTCAAATTTCAAACATAAGGAAAAAATTCTTAAATCTGCAAAAATATTAATTATTTTTAGATCTTTCTTGTTTTTACCAATGATGAATTTAATTTAATGATGATTTAAGAAAATTGTTTTTATTTGTCTATTGTGTGAAACTTTAAGAGATTTATAATTATTTGAGGGGGACAGCCTTCCCTGCTCTGAGTTTACAAGTATAAATTTTTAAAAAAAAAATTTAAATTTTTTTTTTGCACTTTATAAGATTTATAACTATGTACAGGTTTTTCTAAAATTTTATACTCTTTTTATTTTAGGTGTTCTGAAAGTTTTCTGATGATGGAAACGATTTATAACGATCGAGTGAGTTTAAATTGTTCTATCTTCTCAATTTTTTACTTTGCTATAAAATTGTTGCATTTATCTATGATTAGGTCATAGCCTTCACGTCCTCCTTTATGCAACATTTAAGCAGCTTTAGGTATAGTCAATTACAGATTATATATATATATATATATATATATATAAGTACAACCATAGCTCATTAATAACCGTATTTATTTATTAACCATATTGAATGNTAAATATATATATATATATATATATATATATATATATAAAGAAAAAAAAATTTTAAAAACATTTTTTTAATTTTTTTCTTTTTCTTTAAAAAATCTTTATATCTTTTTCCTTGTTTTCTCTATATTTTTTATTTAACTTATTTTATGAGTTCTATGTACTTGCAGCTTATGCACAGTAAATAAAGTTATGAATCCTTTAAAATAATTTTGAAAGATGCTTGTAGGACTTAATGAGATTTTCATAAAAAAAAAGTGCATAATTTGTAGCTGTAAGGAATGCAGATTTTTTCTCAGAGGATGCGAACGTTAACTGATACAGCTATGTTCAGCCTTAAACTATACACTAAAAGCGTTGAACAGAGTTCATCTGCTCATAGTCTATTTAAAGTAGAATAGTCGGTGCTTCTTAGGAAGAGGGAGCATCTTCAGTTCATTTTCGAACAGAACGTGCTATGCAGACTTAAAAGCTGTTATTGATGACAAAATTATAATAAATTATAAATTTTAAATGTATATTATATATTTATAATATTGCATTTGAAATTTAAACAAATAAATATTTTAGATAAAGTAAATAAAAAATAAAAATAAAATATACAATAAAAGTTAGTATTTACCTAAAAGATTTATTTTTTGATGTAAAATTATTACATTTGTATCTCCAATTTAAATTTACGACAATTCCCATTACATTTTCATATCCTACTGATTGAGTGAATGAAACATGTCTGAATATAAATAAATAAATTTCTTTATTTTTAAAAATTTTCTCTGAACTAAGAGACACTAATTGGAGAAATCTCTTATTTTTATTTATTTAATTATGAACTTTTACATTTGATTATTTGTTAAATCTACTAATTTTTTTCCTGACTGCTTGCCAGTTCTGCTATTATAATTTTTATTCTGCTACCATATTAGGTTTTTCTTTTCATTTCTTTTCAAGCACTGAGGAAAAAAAAATTATTGTTAAAGCTACCAAAATATTTTAGGAATTTGATGTTTAGTATAATATTAAAAAATGACTTAAAAACAAATATGTTATTGTTTCTTTTCATAACCTATTTTAAGAAATCGTGATGGATTTTCAAATTCATTATTGCACAAAACTGTGAATATTTTTTAAAAAAAAATTAAAAAGAAAGTTACAGGCATGTTCTATTTTTATTTTTGTATAAGAAAGAGAACTTCTATTGTGAAAAACCAAATGAATAACCTATATATTTAGAATAATATATTTCAGCTATTATAATATTAAAAAAAATGTTTAAATATTAATATGCTTATAGATTATTTTTTATGAATGATAACATTACATTTTAAATTTATTTTTTACTAAAATTAAAAAAATATTTTTAAAAATGACAATTGAAAGTATGAATCATATTGCTGAAAGAAAGAAATATAACTAATCTTGCAAAAACTATAAAATGGTTTGCATATCTATTAATATGCTTTTATAGTTCATTATTTATTATAACATTTTAAAATCGAAATTTTCCATTTAAAAAACATTTTCTGATGTTTAGTAAAATAATGTTAGTAATGATACAGTCATTTTTACTCTAGAGAGAATTGTTTCAGGACTATGAATGTAGATGGCAGCACAAATCAATTTTAAAGTATTGACCTCAATTCTGTTTACGTTTCGAATTTCCTACCGCAACAGCCATTGCTGTGGGAAATGAGTTATTTGACATCTGGGTTCTTCCTTAGCTATGAAAGGTCACATTCTCAGCCTTTAAATCTAAAGAATCAGTCATAAAATAATAGTTAATAAACTATTTTTGATAAATATAAGAATAATTTTGAACGTTTTAGCTCGCAAAATGCAATTATTGCGATAGATCACAAATGGAGGAAGAGACGCTATCGAATAACATTACTTGAGCGTATGTAGCAAATGAAGAATAACGGTTTTTCATGATCCATATTAATTAATGGTTTGCTATTACGGTGAGTAGAATTAATTTTAAATAAATTTAGTCGCGATAGAATTAGATGAATTCAGATTATAATAAATATTAAATTTTAATTGCTTCAATATTAATAATTTATAATAATAATTTAATATTGAATTATGACTTTATTAAAATATCCTTTTGTTAAAATAGAAATAAATTTAGCGTATGTATTCCATTCTGTTAATTTGAGTTTTCGATTTTGGTTTTTTTTCCGATTTCATATCAATATTGATTTGATAAACCAATTTTTATTAAAGGTATTTAAATAATATATGCGCATATTATTTAAATTTTTTTTTTTTTTTTAACCTAATTGTATATTTTGTTTAATCATGAAAGTTTATAATAAAATAATAAAATTTCGCATGCAGTTTATATATTTATTTGCAATAAATATTTAAATGCTTGGTATAAAAATATAATTTTATTACTATTTGCCTTCAGGCTTAAAATGCATTCTTTGGTGTAAATTAAAAAAAAAAAAAAAAAAAAAAGAAAACCCGTTGTCTTGGACAATTTGCTTTTTTTGCCTGCATTTCTTTTAAATTTTATTTTATGTTTTTCATAGCTTATAAGAATAGTAAAATTTAGGCATGAAAATATTTGTTCTAATTATTTTTTTTTATTTAGTTTTGCTATCATAGTGTTACATTTTCACAAAATATGCTTAAAAAAAAATTCAATTTCTATCTCTTAGTATCTAGCACTACGCCAGTGACATATGGAAGCTATTGGAAATATTGCATATTTTTATAATAGAAATTATATTTCCTGCTTTTGCAAGAAATGTAATACATTTTAAATTAATGAAATTTAAATTTGATAAAAATAATATAAAAAATGTTTTTGCAAAAAGTTAAGTTATAATTAAATTTAAAATATTAATAACGCTACTAAAGGATGTATTAGCAGAAAATTTAAGTTAATTTAGTTTTATTAATCATTTTTAATATTAAAAATTAAAATTGCACTAAAGTTAGTTAGTATAAAGTTAATTAGATTTAAAATATTAATAAAACTATTAAAAGATGCATAGGCAAAAAATTTAATTTAAATCAATTTTGTTTTATTAATAATTTTTAACATTAAAAATTAAAATTTAGCTAAAGTTAATTGCAATTAAATTTAAAATGTTTGTTGCAATATTTGTTAAATATTTGAAGAATGTATTTTAAGAAAATTCAAATTAGTTAATAATAAATTATTTTTGCAAAAATTTTAATTGTAATTGACAATACAATATTAATAACTATTGAAACTTATTATATCATTGTTTAAAATGTTTATCAAACTGTACTTTGGAACAAAAGCTTTATTTATGGTAATTAAAAAATATATACTATAATTACATTAAACATACCAACACTTCACTATACAATACAATATACAATTTAGTGTTAAATCCCATAATTTATTTTCAGCTTCTCTATTTGTTAGTTTATTTAAGTTATATTTAAGAGCTCAATTTATTAATTCATTTAATCTTATTTATATAATTTCATTAAAGTTATATTACAGTTTTTCTGTTTATTAATTGATTAATGTATTCACTTTTAGGGGCAAGCTATCGTGATTCACATTTTCGATATTATAAGTACGTTTTGATAGCTGTTTTGTTTTTTTGAGTATTGATCGTAAATTACGTAAAATATACATGTAAAATCATATACAGAAGGCTAATTCTCTTCATTATCGAAGAGATCAGTTAACTACTATTTATAACTTTAGTATTAATGAGAATAAAAATAAATAAATATAATTAGACAGCAGAGAAGGTTGTATTCACGTACATAAATATTGAGAAGTATCAATTTTTATTTAGCGTCGAGCGTAATTATATTTTTATAATTCCTTATTACATGATAAGTTTAAATTTTTTTTTTTAACATAAATGAAATCAAAAGAGTATACAAATGAGCAGATACTAATTTATATATATATATAAAAAAAGGGAAAAACTAAAGATTTATCAACTATAAAAGAATCTTTAGTGAGAAAGCCTGGAATAGAAACTTCAAAATATGTTTGACTGCCTGGAGAAACGTAGAGTAGTTGACAGATCAAAAGCAAAACCGCCATCTAATATGATGAATTGCAGTTGAAGAGGGCGTTACATCTAACTCAAAACTATTCTTACTCTTTCATTGCTTAACTCTTTGCTTACGATGTACCATGTTATATCATCACATGTGGTCCACATGTTGTACCAGCCGTAGGTAAAAGGTTAAATATCAGCTTGTGTCCCCTAATATGCTTACTTATTTTACTTCAGTTTCGATCAGGATTCTAAAAGTATATGTAAAGATCGGTTTGTATGGAACACCTTGTAGAACTCCCGTAAAGATATTTCAAGTTTCTTGCGGGTTCGTAAAAATTAAAGCTTTTCACTAAACCTTTTTCTAGGAAATGCTTCGAGCGAACATCTCCTCAAATAGTGAAAATTACTACCTTCACATGTTTGAGAATACGACTTTCGGAAAGGCATTAAACTATGTAGCATTGAGTTGCAACAAAATATGTTGTATTAAGCATTTAATGAAGCATATTAATATAATTGATCAGCAACTATTCATTTTTTTGTTGACTTTCTCCCCATTTCCAGGGAAATTCGCTGAGTAAATGTTCCGTCAAATTAGGGAAATTGCTATCTTCACTTGTTCGAGGATACGAATTTCGTTAAAAGCATTAGTGTGGATGCACTTTAGCATATAACATAATTAATCAAAAACTACACCATAAAACAAAGAGTATGAGGGAATGATAAATAACTGTACCTTGTAAAGAGCGTGCACTAACTCCTGCACTATCCCGTTCTACA